AGGAGACTGCGGAGTCTCAAGGCCAGGACCAACAGACTGAAGGACAGCTTTATCCATCAGGCAGTTAGGAAGCTAAACTCCCTCCCAGCTCTCCCACCTCTCCTCTGTTTTCCCCCACAGTCTCTCTGAACTTGGTTACTGTTTTTATACAAAATGTTTATTTTCTATCTAGCGAGAGTTTGAGAGTAACATAATTTCATTTCTCTGTATGTCCTGTACATGTGGCAGAAGTGACAATTAAACTGACTTTGACTTTGACTGAAAAAAGTTAGTCAGAGGAGCGGGGGGGCAGAAAATGGTTGGATTTGGAGTAATTCAGTTTCATATTTGCCTGTACTGTAACTGCCTTCTATAACTGCCTGCTGCCTCTTGGCCAGGACTTTATCTCAGTGGGACCTTCCTGGTTAAATAAAGAATAAATAAAAATAACATGATATGCAAACACCTTGCATTTATTGGCTAACAGCATCAAGAGTCTTCCACTGCCTCCGCTCGCTCTTCTTTCTTGGGTAAACAGTGCAACATAGATGTTTTATCTCCACAAATATCCCAAGCCTGAATGTGTTCTGCTATGATGTGGAAATGCTAATGCTAATGGTTAGCTTCTACTGGCTGAGACGCTCTCTGCTCCCACCTGGCTGCTAATTAACAGCTTTCTGCAGCCAAGGTGAGTCCAGGAATGCCAATATTTCCCTGTGACATGTAGCAAACGTTCTGTTACCTTTCGGCGGCTAATACGGGCGATATTCACGTTTTGCACGCATGTGAATCTCCGAGTGACTGATCGTATTTCAAAGAGAACAAGTATTATATGCTTCTCAGTGAACCTTGGTGAACAGTGAAAGGTACTGAAAAAAAAAGAATAAAGATAAGTTGTTCCAGGTGGTCATAATAAATAACCTCCTCAAAGAAGACATCTTCCCTAGAGCCTCCAGGGTTCACCCAGACTCCGAGGGGTCACACCCAACCTGCAGGAGGCCCGTCCATCCTCCTCCACCCAACTACAACCCCTTCATTCCTTTTCCCCTCCTGCAGACTTCAAAGGCACCAAGAGACAGACATCATACTGGCACATTCCACACCATCTCCTCGTCTCCGCCGCTACACCCACATCAGGCCATCGGCTTCCATCAACCTGTTACACGTTTCCCTGCCGTGACCAGACACAGTGGTCACTACGGGGCCTGGTCTCTTTCCCACACTGGTCCTTCTGCTGAGGATTTACTCAGAAAATGTCCCAAACAGGTGTGAATACTGCAAAGAGCTGCTATATCAACAACTACTCAAACACAGACAGGCTGTGTTTCACTTTAACCCATGACACCAACCGTGAGAGAATAAATTAAATCATGTAAAGACTCAATTTTGTCATAAAAGTTTATCAACATGCTTTTTCAAATAAAAATGGCTGAACACACACACATACACACACTGAAGGACACAGAACAGGTGTGGATTGTGAAACCCACATGTGTGTACTCTGCGTGGAACTCAACACACAACCTTGATTCAGTCCACTCTGATACTTTCTGCCCACGCTTCCCATCAAGGCATCTCCCTTATCTGTCCACATGGTCTGAGCTTACTGGAACAAGCCACAAAACATTGAGAAAGGCTGGAGTTCATTACAGATATGACGAGAGACGGCGACCACAATGCGCCACTTTAGCCCATGATAATGACCTTGTAGGAAAAGTGGCAAAATACAGTCAACTGACTATTTCTTTTGTAGGTAAGTGGAAGAGGCATGGCACTGTGACTAGGATCAGGTAAGCTGCTTAGCTTAGTTTTTTCTATTTTTCACCCATGCTTCTTTTTCCAAGAGTTATTTCATTTTTTGGGGTTCTTGATAAAATATTTTTATTTCAGCCCAATCAATTTTCTAACCAATAGGCTGTCAGACCACAGGCCATCAACTTCCTGGTCTTAAACTTTTCATGTCATGGTTAATCCTCTTCCTGATGCCAGACAGCGGAAATACAAACATTCTGCACAGGAGCGAGTAAAAAAAACAAACACACGCAGCATCTGCCTCAAGGTCTGACTGCTGGAGCTGCACATCTGCCTGCAGATCAAGTTCTGTACAAGGGAACCGTATCCACATCCTGACAGGAAACTGCTCACAGAAGGCTAAGGAGCGTGCTCCCGCTGAGGCCAGACTGCTGCCGTTTCTGCTGAACCGATTCACCACACCCAGAACTCTGACAGCTTTCAAAGGATGAATCGATGCCACTCTTAATATGTCCTCTCAGCCAGTGAGGAAACCTTTTTATTCATTTGTAACATTTGGTTTTAAATTTGCTAACACAATAAAGGGTCCCTTTTTTTTACCTTACTTACTGCATTATTAAGCATTAAAGAGGCAGTGTGTAAGGTTACCTTAATTCTCTGGAAATATCCACCGAAATGTTGAAAATGAATAAAATGACGTCCAGTTGATGAAAAATGTTGGCTTTGTACCACGTAACCATAAAAATTGGGTCTAAAGTACAAAGGGAGCGGGTCTAGCGTCTTTGGGGGACGCCATATTAGATATCATGCTTCCCTCTGACCAGCTCGGGGTCCTATGCCTGTCGATGATGTCACACTAGATGATTGGCTGGATGTGTGACTTACGGAAATTACGTTACCACATTCAAAAACATTTACTGTAGGTAGTAAGAAACATAAATATAATAACAAAACTGCTAAACTCTTTCAAAAGCGTATGTAAAAGAACAGAATCGAAAAAGACATGCAATATATTTTGGCCAAGTGGTACTGCTGTAGTATGATGATGTCATCGGCAGGCGCAGGACCCTGAGCAGATCCAGGTACTAAAGCGCCAGAAAACTACAGTCGGCATTGTCTTCTCTCAATGGAACTAACTGAACGACCTCGAAAGTCTGAGGAGTCAGGCTGAGGTTGCATGCTTTCTGCTTAACAACGGTAACATTTACCGTAATGTTTTTTTAAACTAGCAACAGTCATGGCGATACGGTGTCAAATTACCCTGAAGTGTATGTACTGCCCCCTAGTGCCAGAAAACTACACACTGCCACTTTAATAAACTATTTAATAAAGTATTAATGACTGCTTAACCATATTATGTAATGCTTTACTAAGCAGATACCACCAGCATATAGAAAAGAACAAACGTCTTAAGCTATAAAGAAAAATGATGTTTAATTTTTCACACTTTAAATCCATGGAAGCTCTAATGACTTATTAAAGTAGTGAAGAAAAAACATTATATATAGCGCCTCTCAAGATAAAAATCCTGAGGCGCTTCGCAAGAACAAAAATAAGAAAATAAAAATGATTAAAAATGATTACAACAATAAAATTGGGAAAAGTCAAACATTGTGATAAAAATGTGAGGAAAGGGATACGGAAAATGAACAAGAAAGAGGTAATCTGATCCCGGGAAAGGCAGAATTGGTAGAAAGAGCTGGATGAGGAGAAGGTAGTGATGAAGAATTAACTGAAGCAAACAAAAGCTAAATGAACAGCTGAGTTTTCAGCTGCTTTTTAAAGGAGACCACCGAGTCCACTGATCTCAGGATCAGGGGGAGAGAGGCCCAGAGTCTGGGGGCCACAGCAGCACATGATCTGTTACCTTTGGTCTTTAGTGGAATAGAGATTTAACTTGATGCTCACAGAACAAACTAAGTCATGATTTTATTAAGAAAATGTGTAAAAATCCTCAATTTCTGAAGCTGTTTTTTTTTTCCTTTGCTGAAATCTTCATTCATCCTTAGCTATTTGATGACTGGAGCTAAGATTCACCCAGTCTCTGTGAACCTCTCTAGCTTACAAAAACAGGTGGCAAGCTGGCTGTTCTCAGATTTATGGACAACCTACCACATGTTGAACTCATTTGTGGGAACCTTAAAAGATCAAATCACTGAGAAACCTGACGGAGCCCAATTTGGTTTGAAATCTATCTTACAGTCTTTACCCCATCTATTTGTCAGGCTGCACTGACAAAAAAAGGAGAAAATATCTAAACATCGCCTTGGAGCAGGAAATGTGTAAATCAGTGGGTCTATGTGGGATTTAGGCTGATTTTCACATCTTTATCTTTGTGTGGTTGCTGGGTTTCAGAACTGGTCTGCTGAGAAAAAGAAGAGCATTCTTCAGCAGCTGAGATATTTCTTGACCAACTGTGAAAATGACATTTAGCTCAGAGGCACACGGTCAGAATGGGATTTTACATGGAGTGGTTAGTTTTGACACAACTTTAGCACAAAGCATCTTTGTACAGGTGGTGAATAAAAACTTAGTTTTTCAGTTGCGTCCTCTTTTTGAAGAACATTTGAAGATTCAGTTTTATACGACATATTTGGCTGATGAATGTTATTATATAAGTAAATAATTCTGCATTCTAAAACTGAACTCAAACTATGCAAACTAACAGGATCAGTGCGAGTATTGTAACCATTATAACCACTTATTGGACCACTACATGTCAGAACACAGTAGGAATGGCAAGTGCTATTTGTTATCACCTTCAAATTGAAAATCTAAACATCAAACAAGTTTAAACAACAACTATGGAAGTGATTTTTCTGTCTGTCTGTGTCAACTGTGTCAACTTTAAGAGTTAAGATTCCTGTGAGGACTGTTCACTAAAAGATATATTTAAATTATTTTGCATTTCTGCAAATTAAAACAAAAAACAATGGGGGGAATTCCCAAATCTACATTTTTAATGCCAAGATTGAATATCGTCTTGCTGACAATGGGGGCTGGCTGACCTCCCCCGAGTTTGTCACAACCTGTTGGGGTGCCACAATGCTGTTTGCATCCATTGCAGAAGACAACTGGCTGTCAGTCTTCAAATCAATCCAAACATGGAAAGGGTTTGCGGTAAGGGGGTGTGGGAGGCACAGAGGAGATCAATGAATTCTTCTGTGAGGCTCTTGTCCCAAAATATAAAACCCTAATAACCTATTAAAGGATAAGAAACTCTAAACATCAGCAAGACAGTACAAGCTAGTGTCCAGCCCAGTACTCACCATCAGAACCATAGCTCAGAGACGCCAGTCCAGTCACCAAGAGAACAGCCTGCCAGGTCAGGTCCTGAGGCCGCCCCACCATCATGCACCAGCTTCTCCACATTCCCAGAGCTGCTGCCACAGCAATCCCCGTGCAAAAAGATGCAGATGTTTTAGCGCGTTCCGTATCCTCCCTCCTTCTGTACAAGTGTTTCTCTGTGAGCGACTCCCACTCTGCCTCTCAGCACTCCCACAAACTTCCCACAGTCGCCTTGAGGCAGAACTCCACACTGACAGCCTGCCAGAGACACATGGAGAAAGAAGAGTGGGACAAAAGAGAGGGAGGAGGAGGGTGTTACTCTCTCACTGTGCTTTTCGTCCAGTTTTTTTCTCTCTCTCTCTCTTTTCTGGCCGCTTCACAACAGAGACAACAGCTGAGTATATCCACACGTGTGTCTCGGTCTGTCTCTCACACGCCACAACGGACGAAGGGACAGGAGTTGTTTCGAGGTCACGAGCGTCAGTTTGGGCTGAACGAGGTGTTAAAGGCACCAATAAAAGCTTTATGAATGTCTGCCACAGGCATGCAAACACAAAACATGCCAAGAGAGACATGGAAACTACATCAGGAACGAAAGACCATAAACACACACTGAACATGAGTGTGTGCAGCGGTAAAGCCCACAGGTATCAAATCCTGGAAAGCACGGGTGGTCAGGACTCCAATCTGTTGATGTTAGGCAGCAAAAAACGTGGAAAAAATGTGTTTTAGTGTTAGTGTGTAGGTTATGCATGAAGACGTGGCCACGCTGCAAGTTTCATTAATCTGCCTTTACTTAAGGACTTGTTCTTATTCAGCAAAACTCTGTTCATGTGTGGTTAGCAAAGATTAGTATTTCCATTAAAGGCTGTTGAGTTATTCCAGAACATCTGCAAATAATAGAGTTTAGGGTCAGTTATTCTTTCATTGTTGAAACTAGTAATAACAATCATTATAACAACAATAATAATAATACTAAATAAATGTAACAGGGGAGCTAAGGAGAAACAATTGTCAAGATTAAAGTCAAAATGATGAGAAAAAAGTTTTAATATTTAAAGAAGAAAATCAAAATATTCTTTCCCACAAAAAGGCATTACTACTTTTAGATAAAAGAAAATCTTCTAAGGGGTTAAAAACATAGAGGATAGAGAATTTTATTTTCAGGAATCAAGTTCAAAACTTCACTACCACGTCAAGAGTAAATTTAAAAAGAAAGACAGGTGAATTATTTTTTCTGGAACATCTTGAAATAACTTTTCCACAATAAAAAGAAAATAATTTGATGCATTCATGAAAAATATTAGTTCTAGAACCTAATTAAAATATTTCCAGACCATAAATTTCAAATGTAAAAAGAAAAGAAGTCAAAACATTTCCAGAAAAATGATCTGCATGTGCGCGTACGTTAATCTGAAGCGCATTAAAACATTTTTTTTCTGTCAGCAGCCCTAACCACTAAATACCGGGATGTTATCTACAGATAATGTTCAGATATGAGTTTTGGTGACAAGTATTTCATTTATGTTGTGGAGGATGGCTGCTTATACTGAGCCAAGATCCTCTGGAGGTTTCTTCCTGTTAAAAGAGAGTTTTCCTCTCCACTGTCACTGTGTGCTTGCTTAGTATGTGGATTGCTGTAAAGACACAGGGTGTTTCTCAGTACCAAGGAACCTTGCCTTGATGTCTTAGCCCTGCCCTGGTTGCCTAGGAGATATGTCATCAGGAACCGCCAAGGCATGTTCCAGTGTTCATGTTCTACTGAGGCGTCTATTCCATGTTTGTTAGCCATTTAGCTAGCTGAGCAAGGATACACAGGAGGTGTCTTGTAGGCTGGCCTTGGTCAAAAATTTCCTGCTGTATTTTCTAAAGATTGGCGGATCAGAAGCCGGCAACTACTTTGGGGGCAAATTTCAAGTTTAAATGTAAGTCAACTAATTGTAGCTATCGGGCTGATATCTGAGAAGTTTAGTTTTAGATCTAAAACAGTTTTCTATGGTTGGTTAGTTGCTAGTAGTTGCAGCTTCGGTGGCTAGCAGGTAGTAACTCGCTTACATATTGAATTCAACCAATATATACACAATTTCAAAAGTAAAAGTTGAAACTTGTACGTATAAAATGTTATGTTATCTCCTGTGTCACATGACATTACTTGACCGCCGCAGAAGCCGCGGTCACAGGATGTAAGTCTGTTCCATTTAATTATTTTCTTTGACCAAGGAAGGACTGTGTCCTCGTAACATTGAGAAACACCCACTGACACTAATCAAAGACATGATGCAAACGACTGGGTTCCTTATATAAGAAACATTTTACTGATTGGCTGAATGAACTGAACTGCATTGGCCTTGAAACGACTCATAATTTGGCGTTATGTATAAATTTGAATTAAATTTACTCAAATCTATTCTGGTGTATGAAGCCACAAGGTACACAAGGCAATGTGGGTATTTTGGATTTCCCTCATAATCTCTAAATACTACTTTATTTTTGGTTTACTACTTTTTTCTTTCCCCCCCTAAAGATTTTAACTTTAAGTACGAGTTTAACCAGAGGACAACATTAATACAGCAGTACTTGTGTGTATGTTTGAGGTTTTTATTGTGAAGGATTGAGGGAAGTTCTTTGACTTCAACTATGGGCGCTGTTGCAGTAAAACAAGAGCTCAGGAGCACAACAGGATATTGTTGCTCTGGATTAGAGCCCTGCACTGAAGCCCTAGGACCTCGGGTCGGCCCGGCCTGACGGCCCTCGGTCCAACGACTGTGTAATTACCTCGGGCACGGACCGGGCGCCTTTATTTTTAATCGAATTCATAAAAAAAATTGAAACACTTAAACCAGGGGTCAGCAACCTGTTCCCATCAAAGAGCCATTATTACCCATTTCCTACAGTAAAGAAAACACTGGGAGCCACAGCAGCCGCAGCGTTGTGGGCGGGGCCTACCCTCAGACAGCAGAGCGCTGCTCACAACAGGTGACAGCAACCAGTACTGGTCGCTCGTGTACCTCAAAGTTATCTTTCATAAGAAGATAATCAATAAAACGATTTATATAAAGTGGATCCAGAAGTTGTAGCCCATCTCTGCCTACAATATTTTGATATTTTTCACCCTGTTGGTGGTTTTACTGAGCAGGTGTCACTTTTGTCATATGTTTCTTTTTAAAACATGTTTAGACTGTTCAGAATACAAATCCAGGCTCTGTCACATTTCATTGTTGTAATTAAACTTTGTAGGTGGGGAAGGTCAGAAAAGGATCCGATCAATTTGTTTTTCCCTCATTTCCAGTGACAGAGATAACGGTGCAGTGCGCCTGGCTCTGGTGTTAATCAAGTTTAATCTTATCTATTTTCACAAGAAAACAGAACAGTTAAAAGCAGGGCTTGTGTTGACCGGACAGTTCCCGTGGTTGACCGTTTATTTTGACGGAGAAAGAATAGAAAGAATTACCCCGACGCATGCAGACGAACTGACACTTTATTCTACGCACATCGCAGATGTAGCTAAATCACTGAAGAAAAGATTCCCATCTGAACATCTGAGCTGGACACTGCTCAGCGCAGCTCACTGTCAGCGTGCACTACATAAGGTCCACAGCGAGCTGAAGATGTGGGGAGGAGCTTGGAGCACGTCACAGAACCAGAGCGCATGCAGGAAGATTCCTCTGACTGAATTCAGTCGGAGGAATCTTCCCGCTGATCTGAATCTGATGGGGCTCTCTGTGCTTGTAAAATAATGAATGGATATTTAAATAAAATGCTTTATATTTTACTGAATTAATTTTATATCTGTAAGTCAATTCTAAATGTAAAGATTGTCTGTGTAAACCTGAACAGGCCCAACCCAGTCTTACTGTGAGACCGGGTTGACACGTCACGCTTGTGCGTAATCATAGGCGCTTCCTGAGCTGAAGAGGATGTGAGATTCTGGGCTTCTCCTCAGACAGCTCCTGGATGCGTTGCCACACTGGAGACAGGAACAAGCACTCTGTGATGTGCGTAGAATAAAATGTCAGTTCGTCTGCATGCGTCTGGGTAATGCTTTCTATTTTTTCTCCGTCAAAATAAACTGTCAAATACAGGAACTGTCCGGTCAACACAAGCCCTGCTTTTAACTGTTCTGTTTTCTTGTGAAAATTGTTGGAAAGAGATCAAATTTAACTTGATTACCACCAGAGCCTGTGCCGTCATCTCCGTGACGGTAAATGAGGGAAAAACAAATTGATTGGATCCTGCACGTCTTTTAACACATTGGTCAGGATTGACGCACTTTGTTTTCATTTAGTTGGTTAAAAAAAGTCGGGCTCGGGCTCGGGTCGGGCCAGAGAATCCTGAAAACCTTTTCGGACCGGGTCGGGCTGGGGCTCCACCCCCTCGGGCTGGGCCGGACACGGGCTCAGATTTTAGGCCCGTGCAGGGCTCTACTCTGGATATTCTTGAAATAGACAAAAAATGTGTCAAAATTTTTTTCCTTTGATCAACATTTCTGTTTTTTCCTCCATTATGGTGAAAAAAACAGCATTTTTTTCCAGAAGGTCTGAGAAGACCAAGTTCACTCGTTTTTTCAATACATTTGCAGTGGTCTCTAGGATTAATGAATATCGTGTGAGCCATCTCTGTGAGGAAAAAAGCTCTGGCACTCCTGTTTCAGGAAATAGAAATGAGCCAGAACAGAGGGGAGCAGAGCACGGCAGGATTTGGAGTCTTATTTCCTGATTTTTGTATATCTCGCCCCTGATTGGCTAACAGCTGTGCAACTCTGCCACTGACTCTGTTTGCTCTGCAACTCTGATGTTTTATCTCCACAAATAACACAAGCCTGGAGGAGTTGCTAATACCAACGGTTAGTTTCTTCTATCCGAAATGTTCTTTTCTGTTTCCTGGACATTAAACCGACCTTCAACTTCCCTTGTCCTGAGCCAATTTTGGCGAGTCTTTGAATGCAACTTTTCAGTGCAACATAGATCTGAGTGGCTTTTCTAATGTGAGAATTTCTGTCTATTTTCTATCAGAAGCTAATGCAGGAAAAAGGAGTAGCCTGTATGTTAAACCCAGAGTGACTGATCACATTTCAAAAATAAGTAAAAAGTTTCTCAGTGATCTTAGTCTTTAAAATTGTTCAGCGTAAACTGAGAAAAAGGCTCCACAGAAGCATTCGTCCGCAACCAACAGTAGGGGATTAAAGCTGGGCTGAACGGTGTTGATAGTGTTTGGTTGCTCGTGTGAGCGTAAAGAGGTGAAACCACAAACACCTCTCA